GAACAGTATCACTAGCAGACTGGGCTGTTACATCACATAGACATATATATTGCATCGGACAACCTTATGAGACACGTGAACCCATGGTCTTCCTCGAATTTAGGTATTTTATGTACATATTTACTAGAATTGATCTAATATTATATGTTGGTACTCGTGCTCTAAAGAGGCTAAATGGTGATGGCTTGCCATTTCAAAATGGGGGAGGAGCGGGTACTATACAGGGTAATTTTGAGTTACATATACTGATAATAAATATAGTGTGAGTTTTTTTTATACTAGTTTTACATGTTATTTAGTTGATTTTCTACGTGATTGAAATTACGACAAACAATTACCTATTGTTATATTATATATCATCTAACATAATGATGTAAAAAATTCTATAAAAAATAAACTTATAGTAATATTTTGCAGTTCTTGCTATATAATTCAGAGAACTGTTAAAACTAGCAACATCGTCAAAGGGCAGACATGGGAAATTTTTTATAAGCTATACCCCGAAATAACAATATTTGTTTTTGCCCTTTCCCTTTTGGGATTATAGACCAGATTTTGCGGAAAGGGCCAGGGGATGGAAAAGTAGAAGGGGACCGCAATTAGAGGCGGTGCTAGGATTTTAAGTTTATGGATTCGGAATTTTAATCGCTTTAAGTTACTGGATTTTAGATTAATAATTTATACATATTCAATGAATCTTTTGAGAAAAATACAAAGTTCGAATCAAAGTTACTGGGTTCGACCGAACACGCTCTCCACACTCTAGCTCCGCCCTGACCGCAACCAAAAGTTTTCAACTTTAAGAGTAGGTATTATGTCTGTTCCATACTATTCAAAAAGAAACTCTTCGTTAGAAACTATTACTACTACTACAATTTGAAAGGTTAAATAATAATCCTTGTCTTTTAAAAAATAATATAAGATTTGGAGTACAAGTGTCAAGTTTTCCACTTATCATTGGTTTTCATATTCTTTTCGAATAAATTTTACCTAATTGAAACTTAAAAAATAAGTATGTAATATTATAAAAACAATTAATGTCTTGGATATGAAAAACATAAATATCTAGTAGCACTCTTCACGAATAAATAAAATATTGACACTTGTACATCAAATATCATCATCTATTCATCGATAGAGAGAAAGTATATTTCAAAGTACCACCAAGAAGTGTGGTCACATCGATATGATTGCTTCGCCCTTAATTAGAGCGTAACAATGTCACGATTCAAAATCAACCGTTGTGATGACGCCTATCGTGAAACTAAGCCAGCATCAACACAACAAAAACCCAACACAACGACAATAAGTTTGAAAACATAAATGGAAGCATTTAACATTAAAAAAACTCTTTCGAAAACACAATAAATCCCAAAGTGTGATACAATCCAGCCCAAAACGAGGGTGTCACTGAGTACATGAGCGTCTAGATCAAAATACAGTCCACTACAGTGTCTAGAGAAATAATCTGAAAATACGATAGAAGATAAAGAAGGAGAGTCAAGGTCTCCGAACGCTATGCAGCTACCTTTACAGTCTCCAAACTCTAGGGCCTCAATCACCAACCGCCGCCGTGAACAGAGTCGCCTGGATTTACACACAAGGTGCAGGGAGTAACGTGAATACACCAACTCAGTAAGTAACAAGTCCAAACTTTGGACTGAAAGGTAGTGACGAACTCAACAACAACAGATATAATAGAAATAATGTGCAGAAACATAGGCATGCTTTCGAGTTAAATAGACAGCTCAAGGCAACAAAGTAAATACAGATTTGAACAGTGTAAGGTATATAGCTCAGCTATCTCTATATGCCAATGCACAGACTGTATGAAATGCACCATGTGCTCTCACTCTCAAGTGATCAACCAATCGGTACTGTATATGGCCATCCGGTCCAGGGAAATCCATCCCGGAACATATAAACCACCGACTGTGTAAGTCACCCAGTACCGAGGAGAAAGGGCAATCCAACCCTGTGGAGAAATCCATCTCCAGGTATCAAGTACTTCGGACAAATCTATGTCCAGGGAAATCCATCCCACAATAATACCATCCGCGCTCAATGGGGTGTGTTACAGACTCCGGAGGGGCTCCTACAGCCCAAGCGGTATCATAATCATCAATATAACCGTTGCAGCGTGCAGCCCGATCCCATAACTATCACTCATAACCAGGCTCTCGGCCTCACTCAGTCATCAACCTCTCCAATCTCACCCAGGGGCTCATAATGTCATGAAGCAAACCCGGAACAATGATATGATGAATCAATAAATAACTGAGACTGAGATATGATATAAAAATGCATGAACATGACTGAGTACGGAATATAAATGAAAATAGTGAGATGACAGCAAGAAACGACCACCAAGGGTCCCAACAATACCAGCATAAAGCCTAAACATGATATCTAGCATGATTTACAGCTCAATTACTTTATCACATGACGAAAACATGGATATTGATAGGATAGAGTCACTAAATGGTGACATGGAATCACCCAGGTCACAATTCTCACGGTGCACGCCCGCACGGCCGTCACTTGGCATGTGTGTCACCTCAATACTAATCACATAACACATAGTTTGGGGTTTCGAACCCTCAGACCCAAGTTTGGAAGCGTTACTTACCTCAAACCAAGCAAAATCCTACTCCGCAATGCCCTTGCCTCTCAAATCGGTCTCTAAACGTCCCGAATCTAGCCACAAGCAATACAATACGATCAATATAGGCTAAAGGAGTCAATTCCATAGGAAAATACCAAATTATAGCCAAAATCCGAAATCGGCTCAAACCCGGCCCCTGGGACCACGTCTCGAAATCCGACAAAAGTCACAACCGAAAGCCCGTTCACTCACGAGTCTAACCATACCAAATTTATCAAATCTGACCTCATTTGGTCACCCAAATCCCCAAAGTCCACTCTCTAAATTCTCAAGCCCAAAATCCCTAAATTTCCAACTCAAATCCCTAATTAGGTGATGAATAAAACCACAGATTCACAAAATCTAGACCAATACGGGTTAGGATTACTTACCCCAACGTTTTCCTTGAAATTCCTCAAAAAATCGCCTCTCCCCCGAGCTTCTCAAGTCCAAATTCGAAAATGAAAGACAAAACCTCGAGCTGGTGTTTTTTTTCCTGCACAGCAATACCGCACCTGCGGTCCATTTGTCGCTTCTGCGATGCCACACCTGCGGAAATTCCATCCCAGGTGCGGATTTCACTTAAAATCCTGACCTCGCTCCTGCGGCCTCAAGACCACATCTGCGCCTTTCGCAGGTGCGGAAACCATCTCGCTTCTATGGTCCAAACTCGCACCTGCGCCCCTGGGTCCGCTTCTGTGACCACCACAAGTGCGAGAATGCCATCGCACATGCGTCCTCTGCCCAGGTCTTCCTTAGCCGTGCCTGCGACGCCTCCTTCGCTTCTGCGGCCTCGCACCTGCGGTTCCCCCTCCGCAGGTGCGGTCACACCAGAAAAAGCAGCTTCAGCTGCACTTCTTCAACTCAAAATAATCCGATAACTACCCGAAATCACCTCGAGGCCCTTGGGACCACAACCAATCATACCAACAGACCCTATAACATCATACAAACTTAGTCGAACCTTCGAATCACTCAAATCAACACCAAATACCAAATCACCGCCGGATTCAAGCCTAAGAACTTCTAAACTTCCGAATTGCGCAAACAACGCTGAAACCTATCAAACCACCTCCGAATGACCTCAAATTTTGCACACAAGTCAAAAATGACACCACGAACCTACTCCAACTCCCGGAAATCCAATCCGACCCTGATATCAAAATTTCCACTGCCGGCCAAAATCGCCAAAATTCTAACTTTCGTTCAATTCAAGCCTAACTCTACTACAGACCTCCAAATCATATTCCGGATGCGCTCCTAAGCTAGAAATCACCTAACGGAGCTAACGGAACCATCAAAATTCAAATCCGAGGTCGTTTACACATAATTCGACATCCGGTCAACTTTTCCAACTTAAGCTTTCAATTAAGAGACTATTAGCCTGTTTGGCCAAAAGTGCTTTTTTTTTTTTTTGCCAAAAGCACTTTTGGCCAAAAATTGAGTTGTTTGGCCAAGCTTTTGGAAGGAAAAAAAGTATTTTTGAGGAGAAGCAGAAGCAGTTTTGGAGAAGCAGAAAAAGTGGCTTCTCTCCAAAAGCACTTTTTTGAGAAGCACTTTTGAGAAAAATACACTTAGAAGCAGTTTTTTAAAGCTTGGCCAAACACTAATTGCTGCTCAGAAGTGCTTTTCAAACTAATTATCCAAACACAAACTGCTTCTCACCAAAAGTACTTTTGAGAAAAGCACTTTTGAAAAAAAACACTTCTCAAAATAAACTGATTTTTGCAGTTTGGCCAAACGGGCTATATGTGTCTCAACTCACTCTGAAACCACACCGAACCCGAACCAACTAATCCGGTATATCATAATATAGCTGAAGAACACCAAAGAAGTAGGAAATGGGGGAACGGGGCTATAACTCTAGAAACGATTGGCCGGATCGTTACAAACAGGGTCATGCTCTGAAAATGAAAAATTCTCTAATAAGTTGCAACTCCTCCTTTAATAGATCTATGCGACCGAATCTGAATTAGTCGGACTAGCGTGTACCGAATACTATACTATAAGGTTATAACTTATAAAGAAAAAGGCAGTAGCTCAAAGCTAAGACAATCTAACAAAAGAGTCTCATTCAAATTCAGAGAGCATAGACATGGACATTTGGATAGAGAAATTGGATCAAAATTTCAGACTAATTCTCATCCTTGAGGGACCCTTTGAAATCCCTTTGATTACAACTTCATCCAATCAGAAACAAGAATCAAGGATGAACTTTCATAACATAGCCAATAGAAAAAAAGATAAGGCCTCATTTGTGGACCCAAAATTAAAGTAAAGTCTCCCATTCTCTGTAGAAAACTCCCAAAAAAACCTCAAAATAAAAAGAGCTTTAATTTGCTGTAAAAGTGCATTTGTGGGTCAATTTCTCTTTTCCTCAAATAATTGCACTTTTGCTTTTAAACAGTTATACATAAAGATCTAACTCAACATCTCCCTTAGTTTTCCTCTTTCAATGAACCAAAACTCCAAAGACTAAAAAAACATATACACTTTTCTTGATATTTCTAGCTATATTTATATTTTGCAACGTTTATTTTATCTATGGTTTCGGACAGTAAATTGGCAAGTGCAATGGGTGGAAAAACAGCAAGAGCTTGTGACAATTGTATTAGAAAAAGGGCACGTTGGTATTGTCCTGCCGATGATGCATTTTTATGTCAAAATTGTGATTCTTCTGTTCATTCAGCTAACCCTTTGGCTCGTAGACATGAAAGAGTTCGTCTTAAAACATCATCACTCAAAGAATCTTCACCAGACGAAAACTTTCCCAATTTGGAAAGTCCAGTCTCAGTTTCACTCCCATCGTGGCATAGTGGATTTACTCGAAAGGCACGAACTCCTAGAAATGGGAGGAAGGCTAGTAAATCCATCGAGGATGAGGAGGAGGAAGAAGTTATACTTAAAAACCCTATTCATCTTGTTCCTGAGATATTAAGCGATGAGAATTCGCTTGATGAGAATGAAGAGCAACTTTTATATCGAGTACCTATATTTGATCCATTTGTAGCTGAGTTCTGCATGTCTGCCACCAGAAATGATAAGATGGAGAACGTGCAGACAACAATAGAGGCAGATTCAGGATTTAAACTTGAATCTAAAGAGACGTTACAGCATGATAATATCTCTAACGGTGATTTAAATAGGTTTCATGGGATGTTACCATCTGAAATGGAGCTAGCAGAATTTGCAGCTGATGTTGAAAGTTTACTAGGGAAAGGACTTGAAGATGAGTCATTTGATATGGAAGGGTTAGGTCTTTTAGAGGGTTGTAATAAGGAGGGAAATTCAATGGAATGTTCTATGGTTAGTACTCATGAAAAAGTAAAAATTGAAGAAGAAGGAGAAGGTGATGAAGTTGTTATGGATACAACTACTACTAACCATGATATTGATATTAATGGTGATACCTTTGAGTTCAAATTCGATTACGATTCGCCGATAAATATTAATGGAGAAGATGAAATTGGAGAAGTAGTTATGAAGATTAATGGTGAAGATGGTGTTGTTGGTAATGGTAACTATAATGAGAAAAAGAAGATTTTATTGAATCTTGATTATGAAGGTGTATTAACAGCATGGGCTGATCAAAGGTCTCCTTGGACTAATGGTGAAAGGCCAGAATTGGATTCCAATGACTGTTGGCCAGATTGCATGGTATGTTTCTGATTTCTTATTTTCTGAGATTATAAGTTTTTATTAATTAAAAATCGAATTGATTGGCATATAAAATTATAATCTGTTGATATATTGCATAATATGGTCCCATTTCATGTTAATGTAGAGGCTAAATTTTGAAAGTGAAAGTCAAGTGATTTTTTTTCTGGATAAACAAATGCAATAGGAAAATAAAAGTCAACAAAATATTTATATGTACCAAACAAACTTTTTGTTATTAGGGTATAAAAGTTCAAACTCTTCTCTTTTACATGTAGTTTGGAAAGAAAAATATAATTGATTGGCTACATTTCTGAGTGTTAATGAAGAATTGTTTGTTGTATATACAATGTGCGTATAATATTAGGTATTTGAACAAAAATATTTTAGGCATTCTCTTCATTTCAAGTTGGACGTTGAGATTTTGATATTGGAGCAAAGTAATAAGTTAACAAAATAAACCATTGTTATGTCAAAAGAAGAATGATATGCATGTTTTCTTCTTTTTGTTACCTGCACGAGTGTGTAATATGTTCTTGTATTAAACACTATGAAGGAGAAATATTCATGCAAAATTTGTAGGAGTACCTCAATTTCCATTTTTCCCCCAATTAATTAAATATTTAACTTATGTATGTTGATGATGTAAAATATTTATTACACTATCATTGTAATAGCATGTTATATCAAGTTGTCTGCTTTATTTTTCAGCTAACTAGTTCCACTTATTATGAGAAGTTACCTCTAATTAATATTATTTAGGTGACCCTAATAGCATAAAGTTCTTTTATACTGTCAGTGCATAGAAGTTAAACTCAAAGGGGTATTTATCCCAATATTAATTATCTCCGGATTAGTTATTCCGGGATTATTATCCCACCCTCCTGTAGGGATAAAAATAATCCCGGGATAATTAATTATGGATTAGTTAAACTGTAATTTTATCCCAACCAAACGTGGGATAAACTCATCTCAAATTTGATCCCAGAATTATATCCCTTATCCCTCGTAGCAAACGAGCCCAAAGAATAATTGTATGAAATATGAATTAGTAGTTAATTAATAAGTTTGGGTATTTTTTACAGGGAAATTGTGGAACAATTCATCCATATGGAATAATGAACGGACATGCAACAATTATAGATAGAGGAAGAGAAGCAAGAGTATCAAGGTATAGGGAGAAGCGGCGAACGAGGTTGTTTTCTAAGAAAATAAGGTACGAGGTTAGGAAACTGAATGCTGAGAAAAGGCCTAGAATGAAAGGAAGGTTTGTTAAGAGATCCAATTTAGTCCCTAATTACCCTTTGGTTAAATAATTAGTGTTAATTTATTTATTTTTACCACCAGGTTTACGTACAAAGTTTAGTACAAGTAAACTTGGAGAGCGTTATTAGTATGTATGTATGTATGTATGTATGTATGTATATATAGAGTAATAAATAGCTATGCTATAGCCATTTTGTCATTTTGAATTAGGACTTTTTGGATGTATCATACACACCAAAATGTTCTTATTAATTTTTGACAAAAGAGAAGAATAAAAATTCTAGAAATTGAAGTTGTTCTTCTCTTATAATTCCCAACTTCTGAATTTCGCTATGAAACTATTAAATTATCTCTTTAGATGTATACTAAAATGGCCATTGAATTTTTTGGCACTAAATTGACAAAGTGATCTCTAATACTTTTGCATTTGTACGATTTTATGTTTAACTGTTCACTTTATTATTATGAAATCTGTTCACCCGTAAAATGGTATAGCTGAATTTGTAACATGGCTTCATATAAACACGTGCATTAAATTGATCCGATAAAGTAAAATAACAAAGGGCAAACAGAGTAAATAAGAAAAACTGAAGAAGAGACAAGCTATTGAGCTTCTGAATGTTCGCACCGGGATCAATAATAATTGAAAAATCTCGAACATACTTGTATAAAACTTAAAAGAATGAGAGAAAGAATACTAGTTTTTTGCTATTAGTATTTCTTGATCGTGTTCTCTTCTCACTTTACAATAGAATGAAAGCCTCTATTTATGCTACAACTATGTGGTGCTTGGTTACAAATCATGCCCCCTTAATTACCAATATTACTGTTATAACAAAAGGTAATCAAGATTACAAGGTATTAAAGCCTAATAAAGGCTAAGAAAGGCCGGAAGAATCTTGGGATCTTCTGTAACATCTCTTTGACGGTCATACCTTGAATTACTTCTTATCTTGCCACAAGTTTGTATTTGGTGTCACCATGGACCATGGTTGAGTCACCACCGTCCAGTCATCCTTGACACATGTCGCTTCCTAATTCATCCAGCTTTTGAGACCAATTTTTACCATATACAAGATCTTCAATTGTAATAGCTCAGCTCGCTACTGATATTGTCCGTTCTGAGCCTAGGCTCTCACGGGTTTAAAACGCGTCACTAGGATGTAAGGTATATTTACTTATATCAGCATCTCTCCCGCGTTTTGTCAACGTGGAATTCGCTTAGGGTGTCACGTCAATATTTGAAAATACTTTTAAATGACCACACCAAGGAAATGGTATAACATTCATCACTTTTTTCTCTAGAATTCAAAACATTACATTCACATGTGTTGCAAGTTTCTTTGATATAAATCTGATTAGGTTAAAAAACAACGTAAAGGAATGCGGTAAAAATTGAGAACTGAATTTATACAAATTACTACGACAGAGCGTTTAGACAATCATAACACTTAAGTGCAGTTAAAATAAAAAGTGGCTTATATCTAAATATTGAGTTAGATCAGAAGATTGAAACTAGGAGATTGAACTTGACCAGCAAAATGATTATTTAGAGTGGACCTGTTATTAAATATGGAGTTTGGCCTTTTCTCAGAGGTCTACGTGGTTGTCATGCTTGATGGACCCATTAATTTTTGATGTGTTTCTGTACGTGTAAGGAAAGAAAGATAAATAAAAACTTACCGGATATTCACATCAAATTATATTAATTTATTATAATTAGTTAATTCAATGAGATAAAGTATGCAATAATTAAACAAAGTAAAATGAAAGAAGTATATGTGCAGACATATGTCATGCATCTATTGATATAGGATAAGTATACCGAAAGAGAAAGAAAAACATAATTTAAACCCATTGCACCACTTTGATATTCTTTCCACACATAAAAATTATAAGCATTGACATTATAAAAGCTTCTTTCACTCAATGTAATTTAACTCATTATAACAAGTTTGTTATTATTTTATTAAATTACCTCACACACATCATTTGATTGTGTGAATTTTATAGAGAAATGCATATTTTTTGCTGCTTCCAAAAATAATAGCGGACAAAATGTATACTTTTTATATACATATAATATACATAATTTATATACTTTTTGACTAATGAAGCTTCCTACTCCTCGGGGAGCGAGTACGAGCCTTCCCGGGAGATATCTTCAGACTCAGTACCAACACAGATCCCTGACTGGCCGGAGAGGTTCAGGCTAAGAGACACACCTCCAGCATCCCCCACATCCCAAGCGTCAGTGAACATTTCTTCTGGGTCGTCTGATGGCTCAGGTGAAGGTAGTGGGGAATACTCCACCTCTCCCACAGCTTCATTATCTGGAGAGGGTGCAGTAGGTGCTGAGGAGGAAGTAGGGGGAGAAGAAGAATTAGGAGAAGGAGGTGAACCAAAGGTGGGGGGTATTGCTAGAACTAGGAACCCGGAGGTGTGGCAAGACCGGTTCGTCAGTGAAGCAGCACACCATAAATTCCGGGAATGGTGGCCGGTGAGGAAGCTGATCCCGGAGAGGAGCTTCGTAGATAGAGACTTGCTATCTCACAACCTCATTGTGAGGAGGCAGTTTAGGGAGAGAATTGGCTGGGAGTACTTTTTGAGTGATTGTGTAGATGCCAATGAGCACTTGGTCAAGGAATTCTACACCAATGTTGCCCACATCAAAAAGGGCACCAAGGTGACCAAGGTGCGAAACCTGAAGGTGTTATTTGATGGGAAGACTATAAATGACTACCTTGGCTTCGATGCGGAGGATGAGTCCCTATACATGGCAAAGATGGAAATGGGTGAAGAGGTACGTCCCTAGCTAGCACAATACCTGGCAATCCTAGGTACCACCCCCGACTGGTTGACTGCTGGAGTCAAAATTCTGAGGCGTAGTTTGAACTTTGAAGCGAGGGGGTGGGAGACATTCGTATGTAGCAGGTTGGACCCTACCACTCATGAAAACACCCTACCTCTTCACCGGGCTGTTTTGGTGGCTTCGATCATGGTGGGGTACCCAATCAATGTAGGGAATGTGATGTCGAGGATTATCTCAATTGTGGGTGCCGAGCATGACAGAAACTACCTGTTCCCCAGTTTTCTCACCATGTACTTCAGGGATCTGAAAATGGAAAAGGGGCCCTTCGACATCAAGGTGAAAGCGAAGGCCCCATTTTCATGGTATAGCATGTAGGGGGATGATAACCCCAAGAGCAAGAGTTTCAAGAGTTCAGTTACTGCTCCAACTGGCCAGTCTGAAGAGCCAGTTGTAGTAGTGACTCCTGCTGAGCCGGCCTCCACTTCTACTGCTGCCCCTCCTGGTCCATCCACCTCAGCGGACCCGGAGATCCCATCTTCCCGGGCCCATCCCATTACTGCCCACCGGCTGATCCAGGCACTTCTGAGTATCAACAACTGGATGCAGACTGCCTCATCCAAGTTGTCCATCCTGACCACCACTGTAGAGGCTCAGTCGGCACCTCCACCCCCACAGGTTCCTCTGTCGATAGAGGATGCTCTCAAGGAGATATTAGAAAATCAGAAGAAGATCCTCGACACTCAGGCGGTGCTCACAAAGGCAGTTGATTCACATAGCAAGGCTCTCAAGGAGCTTGCGAGGGAACACAAGAAGCCGAGGAAGACACGGGCCTCCAAGGAGTCCGTGAAGGAGCTGAGAGCGGATGTTGATAGACTGAAGGCAGATCACTTGCCTTTAGACTTATTGCTCCAGGATCCAGCACCAGTAGTTCATCCACAGCCGGAGCAGTCATAGAGGCCTCCCAAGAGGAAGAGGATGATTCCTAGAGCTGATGATGCAGTCTTCAGCTGGCAGACCCACAGGAGACCTTCTCCAGTCAGCCACAGGATGCACCACCTCCAGAGCCTGCCCAGGTCCAGGCCCAGGTCCCGGTAGCAGAGCTGCAGGCCACAGGGAGCCAGTCTGAGGTTCCCGAACACAGAGAGGACCCAGGGACCACACATGAGCCTATGCAGACAGACGGGCCATAGGGAGTTTTGTATATCCTTTTTCCCTTTCTCTTTTTGGTGCTTTATTTAGACTAGTTGGCATTGGGGACAATGCGATCTTTCATTTTAGGGGGTAGGCCCTACATTTTGGATGATTGTATATATTTAACATTTTTCATGCTTTCTTGATTTTTCATCTTTGGTCTGTATATAATTTTAATATTTCATTACATTTATCGCACTTTTATTTTACTTTGGATCTGTATATAAAGTTATGTTACATTGTACATATTCATCCCATCTATTGTATATCCAAATCCCCTATTGTATATATTCATTCTACTTTCCGCAAACTTTTCGTTCTTAGCTTCTTATTTGTGATTCGTATCTTCTTGTTTTCAATGTTTGCAATAAGCTTTTGGTTTTCTTAATGCCACGGTTCTTTCCAAAGGTGGAGTTTTGTGTGAACCGGGTGGCTCTTCCCAATGATGGATGGCGTGACAACCTTCTTAAGGGTTTGAGTCCGTTTTTCTTTTTGTTTTTAGTAGTTAATAGTTAAGGGCACCCCAAGCAAAGCTTCACTTGGGCCTAGCACATTTGCCTTTGATCTTATGGTCAAAAACAATTTGTTGTGTTTAGGATGGTGAAAGTAGTGACCTTGAGACTCTTGTGTTGACTGATAATCATCAAGTGGTTATTGTGTGCTCAAATCTTATGCTCTGTGTCTTTAACAATCCCATAGCTTGTGTGGTGAGTCATCGTATTGCAAGTCCATGTCCCGAGCCATTGGTCTAGAACTTGCCCTGAATGTTTGTTGAGGCGAAATCCTAAGTGAATTTTGACTTGAGACATGATTATAGGCTCTCCTTGGTCCAAATGATAGCTTGAACACTTCCATAACCTACCAATGATAAGATCCCTAGTCAACCCTTTTGAGCCTTAGACCTTTTTCCTTCAAGAACCATGATACAAGCCTATACCCGTTCTAAAAGATACCCTCTCTTGGCACCCGATCTTTCCTTTAGCACATGGCAAAAGTATAAGTTTGGGGGGAGAGACGAGGATTGCAACAAAGTGGTAAAAAGGCACAAAAATGAAGAAAAGGAAAGGCAATGAAAAAGAAAGAAAAGCAAAAAGACAAAAAGAAAGTTCAATGTGAAAAAGAATAAAAAGGGATTCAAAGAAAAGCAAAGAATGAAAGGTGTGGAAAGTTGAAAAAGGAGAAAAGGTTTGAAATGC